TTTTTTCTTTTTTTTTTTTCTGGTTTTTGGGGTTTTTTGTTTTTTTGTTTTTTTACACCTGCTTCTATTTATACTTTCCGCCTTTTGCGGGTCAAAGCCCCCGTCCCAGGAGCTCAACCCACAGCTCCAGGGACAGACCCACTGCTGGCCCGGCGAGGCAGAGCCCCAGGAGCTGCAGCTGGCTGCTGGCACACACGTGCCACTGCATAACAATAATTATTATTAATGAAGCGTGCACGCTCTGGCAGGTGTCAGAAGGAGCAGCTCCCGAGTCTGCAGTCTGGAAGCACACAGCTAGATGATGGAGCAGTGGCGTGTTCGCACGTGTGCTGCTGCTGGTGTGCACAGAGGAGCACCCACCCCTGTGCCCGAGAAGGAACGCTGCCTTGGTCTCCCTCAGCTGTTTAATTCACCAAACTCAGCAGCATCCCACAGATTCTGCAAATTCCTACTTCTGTTAATTCAAGCCATTTGTTTAATTTCAGGATCTCTGTCCTGGCTCCCTCTGTTTTAAATCAACTTTTACAGAAGTCAGGGCATCTTGCCCGCTGGTCCGTCTCCATTTTCATCCTCATCTGGTCCTTCTGCACATTGTGAAATGGCCTGAAACTCCCTCTGGCGCAGGGCAAAGGCTGCTGGGGCAGAGAGGATGGCGAGGGCTCCTCCAGCAGCTCTGCCTGGCAGCCGCTGCGTGCGAGACTGAGCATTTTCAGTGTTACTGGTGCGACAGGGACCTTAGAAATGGGATATGGATGGGATTACATTCATATAAGTGGATGGAAGAGAGCAAATAGAATATGTATAGATGGAATGAATACAGTAAATCTGTTAGGAAGACAGCAGAGGGGGAGCTTGTGAGCAGCTCTGAACAAGGAACAAAATTCAGCTGTGATCTAATTGCAGAAAGTCCAGGAATAGAAATAAGTGGAAAATGTCAAACATTTGTCACACTTCAATTTACTGCGTATCAGTCGTTATACCCAGAGAGCAAAAGAACCACAGCATCGGCTCGGTGGCATGCACAGTGCTACTGCTCCATGCTCCTCCTGCGCCACCGCGGCAGCGTGTAACAGAGATTGTTCCCAGATCTTGGCTGCCCTGATGGACAGTGACAGTTCCCAGCAAGACGGTTTAGCAGGATGAATCATCCTCTTATCAGATGCTGATACATGAAAAGAGCTGTATTCTTTTTAACTCTATTCTGCATCTAAGAAGAAAAAAATATCAAAGCTAGACTGATGTCACACCGTCCAATGCATCAAAGGGCAAAGATGGAATGGGAAAGAAGTGGGATCTTGAGAAGAACCGAAGCAGCCCTCGATATCCAAAGCTCCTCTGCTTCCTGGTGCCTCCATGCCGCACTCAGATAGGAGAAAAGCTACACTCCATGCTATGCTTTGATGCCACAGTGCTTAAAATTGCTTTGCAAAGCCCAATCTTTGTTGCAAATTCCAGGTTGGAGATATCCTCTGAACACAGCTGTTTCAAACCCAAAGCTCCTTCCTGGCTTTAAAAGATGTCTTGGGCAATTACAAAAATAGCACAACCCATTTAGTCCTTCATGTCTGCTCAATAAAAGTCATTCCAGACCTGTTACACCTTTTATGCTGTAACATCTCCTGCTTCCCTACTTCTAACCAGTATTCAAAGTACTGGACCCTGATAGTTCCTTTCTCTCACTGTTTGATTTTTTTTTAAACCTTGTGTATTTGAACACACTCCCTAGAGTGAGTCCTTTGAAAAGTAATCCATATAAAAGCAAAGCACTTTTTAAATGGCAGAACAAAACACTCATAAAAGTTCATAAATGGCTTGCTATTTAAATCTCATAAAAGCAGCCTAGTTAATTACTTCAGTTTGAATGTTTCCTGTAAATTGTGCACTGTACCCAAGGTCAGCAATAACGGGAGAGGGTTTCTCTGCAAATGCTACAAAAAACCCACTGACTTCCTTGCATGCAAGATGTCTGGATGATTTGCCTCAAAAACAGTTGGCTTTAATTGCATAGCTCGTACAGTTTTGACAGTGAAACCTGATCCTTTATATCTATATGTATGTGTATAACGTATATATGTATATATAAACCGAGTCCTTTCTCTCTGTTTCCTCCCTCCTCCTCCTCCCCCCCCCTCCCACCCCAGGCTCTGAGCTGATGCCCAAAGCACTGTCTACACGGATCATTGGTGGCATATGGTGGTTCTTCACCCTAATTATCATCTCGTCCTACACGGCCAACCTTGCCGCCTTCCTGACGGTGGAGAGGATGGAATCCCCCATCGACTCGGCAGATGACTTGGCAAAGCAGACAAAAATAGAGTACGGAGCAGTGAAGGATGGAGCTACTATGACCTTCTTCAAGGTGAGCCCAGGCAAAGGCTTTCTACCATCCAGGCAGCTGCAACGCTCTCAGGCCAACGGGAGCGAGAACAAAGAACCAAAGACAAAAAGCCTCCTGCGCCACCACTGCTTCTCCTTACAAGCAGGTTGTTTCACAGTCTCGTGTCCTTGTCCAGGCCTTGACCCCTGTCGGTTTAGCTTACCTAGACTCACATCATGGCTAATTTCCCCTCTCCCTGCTGCTAACTGAAGTCGCAATTACAATCTTATACTGGTTTTACAGCTTCAGAGACTGTACCCAATATTGGCTCAGACACCCTAAAATGAAGCGCATATTAGGCACAACAGGACAGGCGTATCTTATATCAAAGTCCTACAGAAAAATCTTACATTCCCTAAAGTATCTTCCCTACTTCACATCCCAACCACGGCAGCTCCGGTCTCTGCAGTAACAGCTCCACAGAGGCTGACCTGGCCTTCAGGGGCAGAGAAGAGAACAAATGAAACCAAAACCTGGCCAGATGTTGCAAAGGGCCCTCCCTGACCAGTATTTTTCACAGCTGAAACTTCTTTCTTGTCCTTCAGGTACTCAATGTAGACAAGTTTTATTAACCTCTGGAACCCTGTGCGAGGTAACACCACCGATGCATCAGAATCAAATTACATTACTTTCTTCTTTTTAAAGTATAATTAATTTCAGAAGTTAGCACTGCAGAGGAGGGTGCTAAGAGCATTCCTATTTCGCTATTGCCTCAAAAATGGGAAGAAACTGAGAGGCTTAAAAAGACCTTTAAAGCCACAGCTGGCCCGTAAAAACACACTTTAAAAAAAAAAAAAAGAGTGAGAGAATACAGGCATAGAAATGAGGGGCGATTAATCTAAGGAATGATCACCCTGGCTTAGAGAGGAATTTAAATTCAATGATGAACTCAGAAGCCGCCTTCCAAGGGAGGGTTGGGAGATCCCTACGCAGGCAGTGCAGGGCCCCAGCCACGCTCCCGGGAGCTCCGGCCCCTGCGGCAGGCTCAGGGCTGCAGCACTCCAGCGGTGCCGACGCTTTGGTTCTCCCATCAGCAGGGCGACGGGAGCACTGGCAGATCAGAGCCTTTGGCCGCGGGAACGGGGTTGCCTCCCCCCGCGCCTCTTAATCCTTCCCCCTCCGGTCACCCGAATTCAGAAGGAAATGCGTGGGCCAGAGAGCGACAAACATACTTCATGCTTTAAAAAGCAGGTTGTGTCTGGAATACCGCAACAATTTGAATAGGCACAGTGTAAAGGCAGCTAGACTAGGCCGTCAGCAGTTTAATTGCCAAGACTCATTAGAGGAAGCGAATGTGCTGAATTTTAATAACAAGAAACAGCAGCATTCTTCTGCAACTTTTCTTGGCTATGGCTTGGTTAAGGAGCCACTACGCTTTCCGAATCTCCATGCTTATTTTGACAGGCAGCAACACGGGTTGGTAAAGAAACATGGAGGATTTTGTTTGGTTTTATCTTTAATTAATTCTGGGAAATGAAAATGTTGCACAGAATAGCAGGTTGCTGGTGGTTAGTTTGCTTTCCGCAGTGGAGTTGGTGCCTGCAGTTTTGTCTTTGGCGTGGTCAGATGCATTGCGTTACCTTCCAAAAGCAATATAAACAGAGAACAGCTATCAGGAAAAGACAGACTTCTGGTGTGTTTTAACTACTCTTTCCAATAAGAGTTTTATATGGGAATAAAAGGAAATCGTCTTTTTAAAAAAAATCATCAAGGACACAGTATATTTATTGTTTTGTATCATTATCCATCAGAATAATTCTTCAGACTTCTAACAGGCATTTGGCAGGGTTTATCAATGTGGTGTATTTTCCTTTTCCTTTTTTATTATTATCATTGTTTGGAGATGAATTCTCAGGGATGTCCCTTCTGACAAGCGTTTCGATTACTGGAGCAGCAGGAGCGCTCGCGTGGGATGCCACGTTCACTTGTCCGTCGTGTACAGAGAAGTACGGGAGAGCCAGAACTTCTCCCACCGCTCGGCGAGGTCTTTGTCGACTGACTGGGCAAACCCGCGGTGGTTTCAGTGCGGCATCTCTGCACGGGGACATCTGTCAAACAGCAGAAGGTCGGGGGGGACAGAGGAACAGGCCCCTCCGGTGTCTGCTGAGGTCTGCGCTCCCTCGGGACAGGTGGGACTGAAGGCACAGCCAAGCGCACGAGGCTTCACGTCACCGTCCCCCGCTCTGCTAAAAGGGGGTTACGCAGGCTGCTGGGCGACTGCTGCCCTTGACAAGCTCCCGGAGGCCTGCTGGGGCCAGCACTCCTGCAGTCTGCGGAACGGGCTGTTGTTGCTGGGACAAAAGGTGGATGGCGGCATCCTGGCTGGAATCCCCCCGTACCCATTTTGTGGATTATCCGCTAGGACTTAGCCCACATCACTGCCTTGCTCCTTGTATGACTGTTCCCCAAAGTCATTCCCTCACGTTAGGAACTCACTCCTCCGCGTCTCCATGTTAAAGAAGCTGCAGACCACCTACACTGACCCCCCCGTCACAGCCTGGGCCCTGTGGCCCCTTCATCTGCGCTCCGATCCCGGAGCTGGGCTTAGGGAGCAATGGGAAAGGAAACGGGAGGAAGAGGAAGGCAAATACCTTGCACGCTACTCCCCGCAACGGTTCCCAACGCGCCAACCCGTTTTCTGCCTGTGGTCAGGCTGAGCGAGGGTTCCTGCAGAGCTCACGGAAGTCACCGCAGAAGAGCCCTGCTGAAACAAGCCAAAAAAAAAAACCCACAGCGAGCGATCCTGCTCGCACAAAGGTTTTGCCGGTGCAGCTGAGCCAACCAGCCACGGCGAGGGGGAAGCAGAAGAGACAGTTTTATCAGCCATGCTGGCAGATTTCGACTTAATGAAAAGAACTTTTGAGAGGCTATTTATTCCCTGGCAATGCAGATCGAGTTACAGGAATAAACACAGATCAATTAATTTAGGAACAGCATCTAGCATTCATTATAAATCATGCCAGAAATCCTTCATATCTTGCAAAGGATGCTGTCTCTCCCTGAACAAATGCCAGGTTTAATGTGCAGTTTGGAGTACGAGTGTGAGTGTGTGTGTGTATGTGTGTACATATATATTCACTTGTACAGAAATGTTAAATCCTCAAGAGTAAGTATCTTCAGTTGGTGAAAATCAATTTATTTTTTCATACAAGCTGGAATTGAAAATCTTAAGCCTGAAAGTTACTTTCTTGCCAATTCCACTGATAAAAAAGCATATATGTCTTGGCAAGATGCCTTGTAGTGGCTCCTCTAAACTATTTCATTAATTTATTTGGGTGACTGGTCTTGAAGCATTGGTTATTAAAGGTAGCTTCTGAGCTGTGACTCTGAAGAATGAATTTAGAAGCGTTCCTAGTGTCGTCGGCAATTACTGCATTCAGAGGGGCTGGTACTCAGCTTTCCATACGTGCATCTCATTTAGTAATAACGCAGGGTTTTATTAAGATGCAGAGGACAGCAGACCAGATTCTGATCTTATTTATCCCGACCAAAAGGAGGAGAAGCTCCCCTCACCCGAATCGGTGGGAGAGCTGTAAGCAGAAGGGAGACACGATCACGCTGGTGTGAACCCTGGCTGCAAGGATCAGCAGCGTTAAACTACCGCCTTTGTTTATTAGCAATAATCTCCATCATTTCAAATGATCAGGAGTTCATACCTCTGGAATTTCTCTGCCAGGAAGAAGCCAGTGTCAAGCCATTTATCTTAATGCTTCAGAGCAACCAAGCAGTTCCTCCTCTTCTGCCTTTGCCAGCAAAGTTGTCCCTACAGGGACCTGGGGACCCTCCAGAGGACACGGGGGCACAGGAGGGTCTCTCTGCCTGCCACCAACTCACATTTCTTTTATGCAGCCCATAAAAGTAAATCATGATTCCACAGAGAAGAAATTTGCACCTAGCCACAGCGCGGCAAATATGAGTTCTAACCAGTGACTAACCCCAGTAAGGATTTTTTTAAGGTACTTAAGCTGTAAGATCAGAGGTCCCGCAAAACAAAATGTCCACCAAAGTCCAGCCCAATAAACACAACTTATGTGAATTTTTTACTGACTACTAAATTACTACTAACAAATTATTGTGCCTAACGATGATGATTTTGCTTATTTGAAGGGTATGTTCTCAGGTAACATCCTCCAAATTCCCATAAATAAGTGACCACCGTTGCAGCATGGCTGAAGTATTCTGAGAGGAGGAGAGGGAAGGACAACTTTTCCCCTAATAGGAAAAAACGTCCAGTGGTTGAATTAGGTGTGAGCTGGAGCACTGTACGCTCCTCGCCACAGTTGCTCCTGCAATTTTTGATTGATGACTGCTCTCACAATGACTGACAATTGCTTCTAAATTGGACTTTTAACAAATAGCCAGGTCTATCAAACTGCTGGTGCTGTGCTGAGAATTACAGCTGGTGAATTTTCACTTGGAAAAGGAGTGTTCTTATCTCGTGTTAGCTAAGTTAAAGAAACTAATAGGAAATAAATTCCCAGTTAGGAGGTGGCAGGTTTTAGACTACAGGGAGAGCCTGAGATTGCCTTGAGCAGAGATGTGTGCGGAGCCGCGCTGCCTGCACCGAGGGCTCGACCTGCCCTCCCCGAAGGAGCTACCCTGCCTTATCTTTGGGGGAGATGAGGCCACCGCAGCCAGCAGCGCTTTGCTGCGGGGGGACAGCCCTTCCCCGCCAAGGGGCTCAGCCCCGTGTTGCCGGGTCTTTCTTTCGGCCGTTTCACTAGGCTTGGGAAGCGGCGACAGGTAACTCCGGCCTGTGCCGAGCCCTCGCCCCGGTGTGCTCCAGCACAGAGGGTACCCACCCCGCTGATGGGTGCCCCCCACCCAGGACGCCCGGAGGGGGCTCAAAGCAGCACAGCCGGGGCAGGGAAAGCTGGGCTCCTCCTGGCTCCTCAAAACACGATTAAGTCCTTTCAGCCGGTCAGAAGCAGTGATTTAGGAAGAGAAAAGTGGTTTTTTCTCTTCCAGGGAACCCTGTCTCATGTAATTTAAGTTGCCTGAAGAGCTACAATGCCTCATGCAAGTCCTATTAGCTTCACTAAATGCAGCCTATTGATTTTTTGCCAGTTTATTTTGCTCTATGCTTTAAACTGGGAGAACACTGATGTTGTTTAAGAGCTCTGTGTCAACACCCAAGGAGCATTAAATGCAGGAAGAGAAGGAGAGAAAAGGAGAGGCAGTGAACCCAGAGGCCTCTGATGTGAACTATATAAATGTTAAACAAGTCGTTATCAGCAAGTGGAGTATGCTATTCATTTCAATTACCCATTGTAATGCACAGATATTTAATAATCCTTTTGGAGGCTACATTTCTTGCTGCTCTTTGAGGTTTGATAGATGCCACAAATCTACCTTACAGGCACTGGCCCAGATTTTCAAATGAGGGAGATTATCCTGCCTCTTGAATGAAGTTTGCTCCGGCACATCCACTACTGCACGTTCATCAAGTGGATTATAACAAGCAAGAGCTTTAACTGAGAAGAAATGAGTCCGTGGGTATTTCAGTCGGGAGAATGAGCGCACCGGGTTAAAGACAGAGGAACAGCCTTTGTCACTGCGCTACGCTAACCAACTTTGGGGCGTTAAGCTTTTGTTTAACTTTTGTTAAACATGCTGAAAAAAAGGAGGTGGACAGGTAAAGCATTTGAAATATAAAACCTTACGAGGGACTTTTTTTCTTAGCTAATTTACCGTTATCATAGTGTTTTTATCAGAAGAACCTATGCTGGCACATTTTGGGTGATACTGAAAGGTTGAGGGGGAGATGCGATAGCAGCAGTTGGGATGGGCTGGGGCTCCATCTCCTGCTTTCTTACGGAAGGACAGAGCCTGAAACGGAGATAAACAACAGCTAAACCCGACAGCGCAGCTTCTGTCCCAGCGACTCCTCGTGCAGCTGCAGGTGGGCAGTTACCCGTATTCAAGGCAAAGCACAAAGACTTACCAGCCCCTCCAACTTATCAGCCAGCTTCAGGCTCTTGCTAAGCAGTAGCAGGGAGGAGGAGTTTTTGGCTAAGCTGCCTCTTATAAAATAAGAAGGCAAAAAGAGCCCCAGGAAAAACAAGAAATTAGGCAGAAAAGAATGGCACATAAGGAGCTGGCAGAAGCACGAACACAAGCCTCAGTATCCAAGTGCTTCTCCAGAGCTCAGCTGGCTGTATAGAGCTGGGTTGATGAGAGCTACCTTCACCCAACTGCAGTGACCAACCAAGGAGGTACCTCAAGAGAAAGCTGATGGGCCTTTCCTGGGGAGTCTTTCTAAACTGAAGACAGTTATGTCCTTTGTGACAACCTACATAGAGACAATTCGGAAGGTGGTCATAGATAAGTGGTGTATTTCAAATGTTATGGAAAGACATGAAATAACCATTTCTTCTCACCCAACGCATTTTCTAGAAGAAGAAGAAAACATTCACATGAATAGTAAGCTAGAAAACATATTCCCTCCTTTTTCAACAGAATGCCTGCTGATAGTGAAAGAATATCTATGTTTATTTTTAGCCGTAAGACAATCTTCTTGAATATTTTCTATGCCTCTGTTTACGTGGATATGTTAAATTTGTTTGGCAGTTGCACATATCTCAGAGGAGACGTTTCCTTGCGATGCTTGAGGAAAGACAAAAATATAATAGTGCATGCCAAAGAGAAAAACATGCCCTCTGAAATGTTCTCTGTCTTCTCTCATTGTGCAGAAATATTACAGGATAAACAAAATTCTGGTTAGGAAACTAATACATTTAAACAGATATAGTGATAGCCTGTCACGCTAGCAAATGCTGCAGGGCATCAAGGCAGGGTCTCGCTGTACCTCACTGCAGGGAGCGCACGGCTCGGTCCCACCTCCAGGATAAGGTCTCTGGAGCTGTGAGTGCCGAGCGTCTGCGCAACAGGGAGTGTGCTGAACTTGTCCCTTGTTATGGCAACGCAAAGCCAAACGATGCTGGGCAGTGAAAGTGGAGAGATTTAAGACAAGGTCACATTGGTAATAGTTCCATTATGTGATGTGTTCTCAAGCTGGTATTATCATTCACTGCAAAGACATGAGGTTTCAGCAAATAGAGGACTAATTTTTACTTTGGGGGTGGGGTGTGTCGTTTTTCCAGAAATCCAAAATTTCCACCTTTGAAAAAATGTGGGCTTTCATGAGCAGCAAGCCCACAGCACTTGTTAAAAACAACGAGGAAGGAATCCAGCGAACCCTGACAGCCGATTATGCCCTGCTGATGGAGTCAACCACCATCGAATACATCACCCAGAGGAACTGCAACCTGACTCAGATCGGGGGGCTCATCGATTCCAAAGGCTACGGGATTGGGACTCCCATGGGTAAGTCACAGCAGTAGGGTTTCTGTAGGTAGCCTGGGAGAGGGGCTAGCTACTGCAAATACAACCGATGGGATTAAGATAGTCCACTCCCAACAGCAAATTTCCAAATACCAAAGCTTATGCTGCCTGCCTGTTGAGGAGAGGTCTGAACAGCCCTGCTTAGCACAGACACATTCCTTGCTTTGCATGATTTTTTTTGTCCCACTTTCCCTCTGTGTAATGGTGTTCCCGCTCCCCAGGGTCACCGTACAGGGACAAGATCACCATTGCCATCCTCCAGCTCCAGGAGGAGGACAAGCTCCACGTAATGAAGGAGAAGTGGTGGCGAGGGAATGGCTGCCCTGAAGATGAGAACAAGGAGGCCAGCGCTCTGGGCATCCAAAACATCGGTGGGATTTTCATTGTTTTGGCCGCAGGCTTGGTGCTGTCCGTCTTCGTGGCCATGGTGGAGTTCATCTACAAGCTGCGCAAAACAGCGGAGCGTGAGCAGGTACTGATTTCCTCCGTCTCCCTGCACCACCACTAGCCCAGCCATTGAGGATTTTGCACGCTGACCCCAGAGACAGGCAGGGAGACGGGCAGCGGGACTCAGCCCTGCCCTGCTGCCTGGACGTCCAAGTGCCCGCAGCTCGAGGGCTGAAACGCAGCATCCCCGAAATGCCATCCCCTAAGGCTCATTGCTCTGTCCCGCTCTGACAGCCTCAGGTCAGGGGGAAAATCACGTCTACTCCGATCAGGGTCATCTGCTGCTGCAGTAACTAGACTAGTAAACAGTTGCAGGGTAATTTTGAGCAAGGCGACACATAAGTCATGAAAATATGGACAGAGGTCCCTGGGAGGGACCTTTCTGAGCTGTTACATCCACTCGCCACTATCACATGCAATCGTGTAGCATATTCCAGGTGTAATGCGTACACACGTGACGTCTCCATCTCTTCTCCCCACTCCTGTTCAAAGAGCCTCAAGGAACTGGGCAGGGTCCACCAGGAAGCCTCATGCTATTTTATCAACTTCTCACAACACCTATACTAACGGCCCATCCCACCCGCAGTGGCTGATTAGTGCTCATGAAACAAGAGGACTGCTTTTATGTTTTACCCTCTTCCTTGCGTGTCATGGTACAATAAGTGGAAAGTGCATTTGTGTGCATGACCAGAAATCAAAGCAAGCTGCCTGTGTGATGGACTAGATAGATGGAGGAAAACTGCCCACTAGCAAGCCCAGCAGGCTTCGATAGCCCTCTGATTCCCAGCAGATAAATCTACCAGACCCCCAGCAGGGATCACACAAAGCACCGGCACTCCAACGGCTGCCTACAGCTCTGCCTTTTGCAGGGTTTATTGTGTCAAAGGTACAATTCTTGCCAAAGGAGAGAGGGGTCAACCAGACGCCCGTGCATCACTGAAGTCCCACTAAGCACAGCTGATACCTTAAATGCAGCCTAAACCTCATGCTCGCCCTCCGCAGAGCCTAGTTTCAGCATCCTCCAGCTCATTGAGAGGTTAGCAGAACATTTTGCCAGGAGTAACGGTGCTTTTTGTCCCTGCTCTCCCCAGCGCTCCTTCTGCAGCGCCGTGGCCGATGAGATCCGGCTGTCGCTCACCTGCCAGCGACGGGTCAAACCCAAGCCCCAGCCACCCGTCATGGTAAAGACAGACGCCGTGATCAACATGCACACGTTCAACGACCGAAGGCTGCCAGGGAAGGACAACATGACCTGCAACACTGGATTGGCACCTGTGTTTCCCTAGGGAATGGGAACGGGGGGGGCGGGAGGGAAGGAACTGCAGCAGACAAGGCTGGATGCACTCTTAACTAGGGAAGAAAGGATTAAAAAAACAAGAAAAAAACAGAAAAAAAAAAGCCTGGTTTGGTTCATTTCAAGAACAAGGCCTTTACAACACAGCTGCATCGATCACCGGCACAGAAGCAAAAACTTCAAAGCACGGACTGTAACACGGGTCTTGGGGCTTTTCTGTTTTGTTTTTGTTATTTTTCATTCCTTTTTTTTTTTTAACACTTAGATTCTACAGGCCTCATGGAGTCCAAACACACTACCATCCAGGAGTCTGATGTTTACATACTGAAAACACATGGAGGCGAAACAGAGTTGAGCCAAACTGACCCTCAGCGGGTAAGGAGGAGCCCCTGAGCAAGGCTTCTTTAGCATGGCAATAAAAGAAACACGTTGTCAGGTGCAGCTGAGCAGCCGCCTGTGCGACCATCTATTCCACACTGACATACACAGCACGTTTAGGATCTGTCGTCCAGGAAAGGGAAAGGTACCTGTGAAGCACCGTGATGGTCAAGGCTGTGCTGGTTCTCGAAGCAGAGAACCTCACGGCTGTGCTGGCCGCGGCCACCCGTGGCTGGAAGTCCAGCGGGGCTGTGGTGGGAGAAGGCAACACACACGTTCATCAGCAGATCCAAGACATCTGACTACAAATGGGCGAGTAAGCCTGAACGGAGCAGAACTCCTGGCCAGGGGTGGGATGGCATGGTATGCACGGAGCTACTGCCATCCCCGAGCGACACCACCCTCACACCCGGTGCCGAACTCCAGCCCGTGCCCAGGGTGACACCGTGATCTCCAGGTCCTCAGCTCCTTCACTCTCTCCACAAAGCTCAGTCTCTCCTGCAAAGAAGCACGGAAAGCGGCCGAGTCCACAGGCTTCAGCAGCGGCAGGAGCAGAGCTGTTCCCAAGAGCCGAACGGTATCGATTTCCATGAAATTCAGCAGCGCTGAACGCAGCTCTGCTGTGTTCGCACTCAGACCAGGCTGTACGGCTGGTTTAGGACTAAACGCTCTCCATGGCATCAGAGACCCGAAAGAGCAAGTCTCAGCCTGCAGGGCCAGGGCTGGCCTGGGACAAGCAGCACTGTGCGAGCCAAACCTGACACCCCTCTTGCTCTGCCCTGTGAACCACAGCCCCTCAAGGCAGCATCTCCACGTGATTTAAACAAACACACACTAAAATGTTTTTAAGAAATCTTCCATGAACCATGTTCTTATTTTCAGGTTGCTTAACCCAGAAGGCTGGTCCTGCAGATGAATTTAGTCAGAATTACCAAAGACCCCTCTGCTGACCTAAAGTAACGCTCGAGTAACATCACTCAGCTCCATCTCCCCGTGGGGAACCGCACGGGTGGCCAGCAGGCCACTCTGCGGATTAATTTACGAAATGAAACAACCAGAAATAGCCCTGCCCATTGTAACCCAGAACAACACATGGAGAGTACGCAAAGGTGCTTAAAAGCTCCGATTTAAACACTGGTGTTGAAGAAAAGAGCAGCCTCCTGCCTTGCACACCTAAGGGTGACAGTGACAGCGAGGTGCCACGGCCGCCGCAGGAACCAGCAGCTGAACTGACCCAGTTTGCCCTCCCCTTGCTGCAAGGCCCTTCTGGAAACTTTATCCTCGCCCAAAGGAACAAACCTGTTTGTAGCCGATTTCAGATCTTTTTTCCCACCTGTTTCTTTCCAAGGCGCAGTTAGGAAGGTTATCTTTGGAGCTGATCAGAATTAGCAAATTAGCCCCAGGGAAGATAGCTGCTCCCCCCCCCACCTCCAGTCACAGAATTTGTCCTTATTTTGTTTTTTCCCTGATGTAAAAAAATCAACGTAGTGACCCAAAACAAAGTAATTTGTCATATTTTGACTCAAGTAAACATATGCAAAGAATTTATGTGAAATTTTCACCTTTTCCTACAAATCATGAAAAATTAGGGGTGAAAGCTGCCAACGGGCATCATATTCTTAATTGTTTGCTGAACAAATACCTACAGCAGAGGACAGATTGGAAGTATGGGTCTGTTTCCCAAAGCTAACCACATTCTTTCTGTATTTGTTTGCAAATCCTTAGGATTGCCAGAGCAGTAGATTTTGTTTCTTTTACAGATTTCTAAACTCTTAGAAAGAGTTACAATGAAGGCAAAGATAAAAACAAAAGCTGAATCTGGCTTTAAATGTCCAGAGAGAGTAAAATATCACAGAAAATAGCATTCCTTTTGCTTCTTGGCAGATTTTTTTTTCCATAACTAAATACCACTAATACCATAAATCCCATTTATTCATCTTTGACACCAGTTTGATTTGATTTTACTCACAAACATCCCTGAGTGACAGGTGAGAATCTGGAATTACTGGTGCTATCTGCCAGCAAAACCAAACCCTGCAGATTACCCCGTTCCCTTCCCTCTCGCACTGACCGTAAATCAGCCATGAAATAGCAGCTAACGTCATGCATCTACATATGGTTTTATGATTAAATCTCAATCATTCAAACATCTGATATTTAACAAGAAGGAAATGTTCTGCACTGCTGAAAACCACGCAGGAGCTGGGGGAGCTGCCCGGCCCCCAGCCCGGCCGGGACCGCTGCCCCCCTTCCCTCCGAGAGCCGAGGGAGCTGAGCTGGTTTCAGCCCTCAGCCTTCCTCCTCTAACCCAGGGGCAGCTCCCCCCAGAACGAGGGGTAATCCGGGCTATCGCCACACTGCTGAGTCTCTCCCGTATTCCCGTTTCCCCGTGCACTCCTTGCCTTCATCCTGGGGAGCGCGGGAGCCCACAAGCCATGCGGTGCTTAACTGCAGAGGAGCAGCAACGAGCCTGACACTTTGCGGTGATGTGTTGGGCGACTTCGGAAGGGACACGCCTGATGACAAAGCCTCAAAGCCTTCTGCGAGCTGTCTTGGGACCTGTTTGTGACTATCGGCAACTCACGTCTTAGAAATCATCTGACTTCCAACTTTGTTTAAATCAGTTCCTTTCTTCGCTTGGTGGGCAGAGGGACTGAAAAAGTGAGGAGGAAATAAAGAAAAAAACAGGTTTGGGCTATTAAACTGTATCTAAACTGCTGTCACCTCAGTTCACTGTTCCTTTATCACTTGCTTTTTCCTTCCAGCTCTCCTGCGAAACAGAGCAGGGACACACAGCAGGTAGCTTTGGGGTTGCTTTTCTGTTTGGAGTTAACCAACAGCACGTGTTGGGTACGATGTCGAGATGGCAGATCCAAAAGAGATGGAATTTGCGAAGGGGAACCAGCTCCAGCTCTGGGTGACCACTGCTCCCTCCTCGGTGGGTGCTTCTGCGGAGCGGGATTCACCTGGGCGCCGGCACGGCTGGTTGGGACAGTCACTGCAAAGGGACCCCGTGGGCCCTGGCACCCGGCGCTCGCTAACCTGAGCCACGCGCAGCCAAACTGCGCCGAGACCCCGAGCCCAACACCCAGCGACTGCGGGCTGCGACGGCACCCCCTGCACGGGTGTCACCGGGGGGTGATCGGGGCAGGCCGGGCATCGGCATCGCA